ATGTCCTGATCCTGGCGGTCCATTAGTCATATGTCCTGGACCAGGTGGACCACCTGAAGCCATATGACCTGGTCCTGGTGGTCCAGTGGCATTAATATGACCTGATCCTGGTGGACCACTCATATGTCCAGGACCTCCAGGTACCATTTGCGAATTTGGAGGTCCTCCAGAACCCATTTGTGGACCTGACATTGGTCCATTTCCAGGACCCATTTGAGTAGGAGACTGATTCATGTGAGGACCTCCTGGTCCTCCACTTGTTTGTCCCATATGAGTTGGTCCAATCTGTCCTGGACCTATTTGTCCAGGTCCACCGGAATTCATTTGCCCTGGTCCATTTGTATTCATTTGATTTGGACCAGATTGCATCATATGTGATGCTCCTTGAGGTCCATTTGGTCCCATTTGACCTGGTACTATAGGTCCTCCAGGTACCAATTGAGAACTAGAATTTTGATTGACTGATCCACCAGGACCACTTTGATTCTGTAACATTACAAACAAATTTCTTTTATTTATTGTGAAATTATTTTTTTTTTTAAGATATAATTCTTTATAACACAGGAAAATAGATAATATAGTTATTCATGAATGGTAAAAATAAATATATCTGTTTATTGTTAGAATTTAAGAAAAGTATTTAATATTAAATATTAGAAAATATATTTATACAGAATATAAATATATTTATATAGAAGAAAATAATAAAAAATATATTTCTTTTTTAATGTAATATTTATAGCTTTAAAATTTTATTGAATAGAAAAAAATTATATTTTATTTTATTTTATATAATTTTAAATTATCTTCCTGTTTAATGTTTTACTTCCTATTATATCAATAATTCAGCATTTTTATTTTTTTTTCAATATTGATTGAATATTTGATTTTTATTTCTCTTTTTAAATTCTGTTTTTTAATAAAAGAAAAAATCAGAAAATGAAATTTGAAAAAGTACATATTTAATATTTATATATATATTATCATATTAATTTAAATTAAATAAATATTTATTTCAAATACATATTAATGCCATTCAAATGGAAAATATTAATTTAAAATTGTGATATAATAATATAAATTGATAAAATTATAAATAACGTAAGAACAATTATATATTAAACATTTATAATTTTCTATATTATAATTATTTATTTAAGTAAAATTACATGTAATAAGTATGACTTATTTTAATTAGTGTAAAATTATAAAATAAAGAAATATTTAATCAATTTTATTAATTCATCAATAAAATCATAATATATATCATAATAAAATATACAGATTGTTAATAAATTTATGAGATTTTTAAAAGTATAAATATAAAAAAAGTTAATATAAAAATTGGTTGTTGAAATATTTATTAAGTTATAAACAATTTAAGTTTGCAAACAAATCAAGATAGAAAAATAGATTAAGATACATATTCATTTATTTCTGTTATTACATAATTATGTAATATTTTTGTATAATTATTTAATTATATAATTATATAAGTTAAATCATCAAAATGTGAAAAAAATCTATTTAAACATGAAAAATCAATTTTTCAAATCTATTCAAAATCAATGAAATTTAAAATATATATTCCTAAATATTCAGAATTTTTTGAGAGTACTTTGAAAACAGAAAAAATGGATCGATTACAAAATTGTTTTTCTGAAATTATTCAATTTTGCATTATATCTTTTTATTAGCAAAAATTTATTTAAAATGATATTATTAAACAATATATTTTCAAATATATATATGTATATATATAATATATAACAATTATAAGAATATATTTATTCCTTTCAAAAAATATCATTTTAGAAATATCTATTTTCTCAATTATTTTAGCAATATTTATAAAATGAAAATTATGAAAAGTCAATGAATTTTGCATAAGAACATATATTAATATTATCTATTAATGTAAAATGGATAAAAATTTCTTGCCAATATTTGTCTCTTTAAAAATTATAAGAATAAATGTTATAGTATATGTTATATAATATATATGAATATGTAATTATTTGTTATGATAGTATATATATCATTATATACTATCATAACATTATATACTATCATACTATATATTATATACATATGTATATATATTATATATATATACATATATTTATCATGAACTTAGATAAATGCTTATGAAATTTTTAAAAATAAAAATGAGAAATATCAAAATTTATAATAGTTTTATATAGCCCTTAAGAATTAGATACTATAAACTGTGCATAATCCTAGATTTAAATAATCAATGGAAATTCAGGATATTCTGAATACAGAAAATATAATCTATTGATTGTATTAACTTGTATTCAAACTAATAAATGAATTAATGTTTCAAATTATTCATTTTTTTAAGATAAATATTCAAATAAATTATTAACATTCATATATCCCAATTATTCTATTTATAAAAAATTTTTTTACTTATTTATTTATAAGAATTAAAAATCTATAATATTAATTGAATTTTTACCTGTGGACTTATAGAAGGTTGCATTTGTTGTGGATGTGGTGGATAGTTCTGTTGTTGTGGTGGAGGTTGTTGAGGTGGACCAGACATAGGTATACCACCAGGTGGCATTTGTGGACCAGTTTGATATCCTTGTGTTGGACTATGAGGATGATGTTGTGGTGGACCCATAGGACTACCTTGTGGATTAGATGGTGATGGTGCCTGCTGAGGAGGACCCATAGGACTTGGTGTTTGCGGTGGAGGCATAGGAGATGATTGTGGCGATGGACTTGCCATACTGAAGTTTTCGAATTTGATAATATATATAATTTACCTAAAATACATAAGGAATTATAAACAGATAATACTTATTTTTTAATCATATAATTTTATCATATAATCATAAAATATAAATTGCAAATTATTACTTATATACTTATGTAATTATTATTTTTGTTATTTGTTTTTTGTTTTTTTTAAAAACTGTTAGAAATAATATAAGTTATAAGATTATAATAAATTTTATCAAATTATATGAAAACTTATTTTAAATAAAATTTTAATTAATTTGATCTTGTACAATTTAAAGTCAAAATTAATTGTAAAAGTTGAAAATCTATTAAATGTTTTAAATATACTCATGCAATATGATATAAAATAATTAAAACAATATTTCTAATGATAAAAAAATTATTTATACATTAATAATTTTAATTTAAATTCAATAATATTAAAAATATATAAAATAACTTAAAAATTGTTAAATATTAAATAAAAAATTAAATAAAAAATTAAAATAAAATATTAGTAAAAT